ATTCAGTGGTAGAAAAGCGAGTGTTGAAATACGTGTGGTTGGGCTCAAGGGAGAAAGATTTTATGGGGAATACCATTGGGAGGAAGATAGGTTTTAATGTTTGGTTTATTGTCTGTTATTTTCTGCTCTTTTTTCGGCTTTGTTTGTTTGTCTGTCTGTCTGTTTCTTTCTTTCTTTCTTTCTTTCTCTCTTTCTCTCTTTCTCTATATTTTCTCTCTCTCTCTCTCTCTCTCTCTCTCTCTCTCTCTCTCTCTCTCTCTCTCTCTCTCTCTCTTTCTTTCTCTCTCTCTCTCTCTCTCTCTCTCTTTCTTTCTCTATCTTCTCTCTCTCTCTCTCTCTCTCTCTCTCTCTCTCTCTCTCTCTCTCTCTCTCTCTCTCTCTTTCTCTCTCTCTCTCTCTCTCTCTCTCTCTCGTGTAGTCCCTCCCTCTCCCGCTCAATCCCTTTCTTTCATGGTCGCATACACACACACACACACACACACACACACACACACACACACACACACACACACACACACACACACACACACACACACACACACACACACACACACACACACACACACACACACGCACACACACGCACACACACGTACACACACGCGTGCACTCACACATTAAACGAGTTGATGAAGCTGATTGAGTTAAAACTCCCTCCCTCCCCCATTCCCCCCATACCCACTCATTACTCCCTTCCCCCCTCTCCCCCCCTGCCCCTTCTCCCTCTCCCCCCCCCCTCTCTCCCTCTACTCTTGACCTTCCCTTACTCTATCCCCCTCTCCTCTCCTCCTCCCCCTCCTCCCCGACCTCCTCTCACTCCCCCCTCTCTCTCTCTCGTCCACTACGCCCCCCCCCAACCGCATTCCTCTTCCCCCACCCATGTGGCTTCCCCCTTCCCCTCCTGTGGCCTCCCCTCTTCCCCTCACTGTAGCCTCCCCCGTCCCCTCACTGTGGTCTCACCCCTACCCCTCCTGTGGCCTCACACTCCCCTCCCCCGTGACCTCCTCCCTCCCCCCCCCGTGGCCTCCCCACCCCCATCCATCTTCTCTTGTTCCCTTAATAATGAGGATTACGATGTGGGTCCTAACGTGGGCAGGGACGCATGACCGTGACAGCATGACACATGTTAGAGTGAGGGGATGGCGTTCATGCTAGGATAAATTTTCTGTACTATGTATTTATGTGTATGTTTATATGTATCTATATATTTTTTTTTCTTTCTTTCTTTTCTTTTCTTTTTTTTTCTGTTCTGTTCTGTTATGTTATTTTCTTTTTTTTCTTTTTTCTGTATTATTATTTTTTTTAAGTGAAAGAATATGGTCTTAAAAGTTAGCGATTTTTTTTTTTTGATAATTATAGATTTCTTATTCGTATGGCTGATATGGAAGCCTGTTTGATGGAGTTTTATCCTTAATTTTGGGTTTAAAGCTGTTAGTACTTGGGTTAAGTTCTTGTATTGCTAATGTTACTTTCACACTCTGCATACGCCGTTTATTTTATGCAAATCACTTGTGGGATGAATTATACTGTAAGAGTTAGAACACTAACTTAGGATTAAAGGCGATGATTTTTTACACACAAAGAGTATTTGATACTGTATATTTGATAGAGTTTTTTTCGACGCACACATACCCGAAATGTTCATATCAAATGCATAAGTATAAACACATAATCCATTTTCAGAGGATAGACGATGTATCGTTGTCATATACATGTACAAGATATATGGATTTCATTCTTCTTTGCACACACACACAAATTTTAAAAAAATATATAAAAATGTTACGTATATCACCAAATTCTGTGAATATGGCTTTTAGATTTAGCTCCTGTGCTGAAAAGGATATTAAGAAAAATATATATGGTTCACGTTGCGGGTAACCCATACATATCTGCAGTCACACATGCCTGCAAAGGCACTGCAGGATAAAAAGACACAAACACACACACACACACACACACACACACACACACACACACACACACACACACACACACACACACACACACACACACACACACACACACACACACACACACACACACACAGAGTCGTTTTCTGCGCGAAACATCATATCCACAACCAGACATCCTCTAATACCGGAACTCGGTGCCCTATCTCTCACGAGCAGCTGGGAGCAGATTTGGCAATTATTCGTAGAGCTGAAGCGAGCAAGCAAGCAGGCAAGCAGGCGTTGGCGGAGGTGGTGCCAGGATCATGTTTAGGACTTGCCCTGGGCTAAATATGAGCTTGCTGTAATGCCTGTTGGGCCAGTTAGGCGGGGGAAGGCCCGCGGTGCATGTGAGCAGGCCGTGCTCGGTGATTGATTTCCTTTCTCGTATGTTGCAAGGGAAGTGGAAGGCCCCTTCTATTTAGTTTGTAATGAATATTTACATATAGATACACATTCA